CATTAAACTACTCATTCTATACGAGTCAGAGTTTTCACAGCAAAATGTATAGAGTTTTTATAGCGCGTCGACCGATATAATCACCGATTTGGACACCTAGGACATTCCGCTGGATTACCGGACCTGGACAGTCCTATTATACCATACCATAGGAGTATAATTTACTCGGTTTTAATTGCAATTAGCGTGATCACTTCCCGTTCTTGCATTGTTAGTATAAATAATAATAAAATTAGTTTTGCAGTTAAGAATTATTTAAATCCCTATAAATTCTGCAATTAATTTTTATAAGCAAGCAATTAATTTTTATAAGCAAGTAATAAATTGATAGGTTGTATTTGGGATTCGTGAAACTACATTTATTGACACATTTATCATATAAATATACCGTAATAACGATATGCTTGACACTTTCTATGAAATCAAATCGGAGTAGTGTCAATTCAGTAGCACTGTATTTCAATTAATGCAATATTTTTATTTATTTTCAATAAAATTTACTTTATTTCACGCATTTATCTGACAATATAAATAAAAATCAACAGATAGTGTCACACAATCGTATCGATCTAATCCCATAATACCATTAATACAGATATCAATAAACATAAAACCATTTTGCAGTTACGCTCATAAATAAGTCTTAATTTTACTGAATTAATAAGCGCTTAAAATATTATACCGTAATACAATAAAAATTAATAAACTATTAACTATATTAGTACCACCATGATAACTATATTAAAAATTGTATTAATTATTACATTAACCGTATATTATGTATATGCCCAATACGGGCCCACTAAGGGGTGTGGACAGTTGCTCACAGACCCAGCAGCGGTGGTCACAAAAAATGGTTGGGTAGCAATGGTGTACCGAAAGGACCAGACAGATGTCAAAAAGGACCCGATAGATAACAAGTGCCTGGCTAGTATAATCAAGGATAACTGGTTAGTGGGCGCCGCCAGTTGTTTCACATTGAAAGACGATCAATACATGGTTAAGATACCGAATAACATGACCAAGGGACCTTTTCACGTGGATAAAGTAATTTATAATTTATGTTTTTGATTGATTTAGTATAAGATAATTATGTTATAATGTAAATTTAATATTTAAATGAATATATTTGTCTATAACCTATCAACTGAACTTTGAAATATAATATTAGCTAGAAATAGGAATTATAACTTAGTGTAATCATGATACTATTTTTTAAAATAATTTATTCAAGATATTTTATTCTAGTTGAGTAAATTATCGGATTATAATATACAGTACGCTATAGATAAAATATAAATATATATTTATTTTAAGTGAATATATTTTAAAAGTATTAGCTTGCTAAATTTTTACGAATACCGTTAATAATTTTGATTGTAATTTACTATTCAATGTATTTTTTAATCATTAGATATACAAATCCAAGGAATACAACCCAACTCTGGGCGCCGGCTATGATTTGGCGCTCATTAAGCTTAAGAATGGCCTACAGTTGAAAGTGAACCCCAAAATCATAAGCGCCATATGCCTGTCCGACTACGGCTTTGACTCGGCTATAAATGTAAACAGCAATTGCTCGTTAGACAGCTGCGACACCCCCGGCCACCTTATATCCGAGCAAATTGTAACGAAAGACGAGGGTGACTGCAAAAAGCTGTACCCCAAGTATAAGGAGGGCTATATGTTTTGCGGAAACATACCCGTCCATTGGTTAAATAGCGGCGCCCCTGTCACCTGTAAGGACAGTAACCTCCAGGATAAGGGCCCGTTCTTTTTGAGCGCCATGGCCTCGTGGGGTCGGTACCCGGATGATTACAAAAAGGTCAAAGACATTGATAAGGCGGATGTCTATACGAAACTCTATGGAAAGCATTATATCTCATGGATTCAAAAGACTATTGAGGAGGACGAGAGCCATTCACTAAATCTTTAATTAAATATGTATTTTAAAATAAATTTTATTCATTATTAAATGTTGAATGTAACAATTATTAGGTTCTACCCCAAAAGGCCTAAAACCGAAAAGGCCTAGACTCAAATCACTTATTGACCAGTGGACATATTTTTAGTTAAATTAGTGGAATAGGCGTGTCTTAACCTAACCTAACGATTGGTCAGTTAGTTATGCAAGTTTAGGCCTTATCGGTTTAGGCCTTTTGAGTGAGTCCCCAATTATTATAATGTACGTATAGTGAAGCAGTTGAAACAGGTAAATTTTTCAATTACATTGCGATAGGAATTGCTATTATTTTGCATGATTATTAATTGTATCTTAACATCAACATACTGTAGATGTTATAAATTGATACAAACACCCACATATCATAGGTTATTTGTATTAATTCCCGGTATTGTTATAAACTACTTCAATTAATTTTTAAAATTGTTTTGTCTAACTGTTAAAGTCAATGATTTTTTTGGTGATCTTAATTAAATTACACTTTTATTGATATTATCTATTATTTATAATTGTATAAAAGGTTCATAAATACCAAGAGTTATGTTTAAACATTAAACACAATAGTATTATTGAAAACATTAAGTAGTGTTTAGCACTTAATTGCAATTAGGTATACATTATGTTCATTTTAATTAGACATTATTTGATATGCTTGGAATAAATATGGGAATGAAGTCACCAGGGTTTCTATAATTAATTATCATAAATATTGCAATTGAATGTGAGAAAATAAAGTTTTAAGTAATAAAACTTAAGTCAATTAATTAATTAAGTAATTAAATATTAAGGGAATACTATTCTTATTGAAAACCAATGCACTAATGCTTAAAACTTAAATACTTTTAAATATTTAATTTGATTTCTCGTATGACATAATTTTAATGCAAACAGTATCTCCCTTTCCCCTCCTTTCCCTTCTATTTATAAGTATTTCTCTAGATTTTTAAAAACTAATCAAAATGTCTGACAATTCGGTTGTTGCCGAGTGTCCACAGGAAAGGGCTGAAAATGTGGGTATTTTGGGGATTGATATATACTTCCCCAACGCATATGTCGATCAGACAGACCTCGAAAAGTTCAATGGAGTTCCCGAAGGCAAGTATACCATAGGCTTAGGTCAACTCCAAATGGCTTTTTGTTCGGACAGGGAGGACATACACTCCATATGTCTGTCGGTCACCAAATCACTGATGGATAAGTACTCGATATCACCCAAAGAGGTTGGATTTTTGGCGGTCGGAACCGAGACTTCGATAGATAAGTCGAAAAGTGTGAAAACAGTTTTAATGGATCTGTTCTTCGAGTCGGGAAATACAGACATTGAGGGCATTCAGTCCACTAATGCCTGCTATGGAGGCACTGACTGTCTGTTCCGGGCCTGGAATTGACTGGAGTTGAGTTCGTGGGACGGGAGGTATGCGATCGTTGTGGCCGCTGATATAGCTATCTATGCCAGCGGACCGGCCAGACCTACGGGTGAGCATTGAATTGATATACAAATCATTAGTTAAGTGAAAATAATATTAATCATATGGATATAATAATTGTAAACTTGGTATAAACAGGTTGTTGTGGAGCGGTAGCTATGCTGCTAGGCCCTAACGGCGCCGTAATGTTTGAGCCGAGGCTCAGGGCCACACATATGGCACATGTGTATGACTTTTACAAACCTAATCTGAGTTCCGAGTACCCGATAGTGGACGGGCAGGTGTCCATAATGTGCTACCTGCGGGCGCTGGACAGGTGTTTTCAATTATACACTGAGAAAGCGAGCAAACAGTCGGTGAGCGCCGGTATCGACACCTTTGACGGCATCTTATTTCACTCGCCATATAGTAAACTCGTACAGAAATCCTTTTCCCGACTTTTTCTACTTAATTATCTGCAGACTTCTGGAGACCAATCAAATGGTTGTTACAAATCACTTGAAACTTATAAGTAATTTATAAAATCATAAACTTTTTAATAATTTTTTATTTTTGAATTTAATTTGAATATTTGAAAGGAATGTGAAACTGTAGGACACTTATAATGATAGAGATTTGAAGGAACTCCTAACAACTATCAGTAAACCTATGTTTGACCAGAAAACTAATCCGAGTCTTATGCTGACCCGTGTGGTCGGCAACATGTATACGGCGTCCCTCTATGCGAGTCTCATATCATACCTAATCAGGTATTCATTGTAAATAAAAACACATACTTTGCTCAAAATGAATGTAAACTATATCAGAGATTATTTAAAAATAATTGTATTAATATATCATAAACCAGTGAACTGGTAGATAGTTTGACAAATAGGAGACTCCTATTGTTCTCGTACGGCTCCGGTATGGCCTCATCCATGTTCTCGGCCCGACTCAGCCAAGACCTCAAAGTTGTGTCCAAACTGGTGGCCGGAATCGTCGACATTCCCGACCGACTCCGCGCTCGCCATCGAGTGTCGCCTCAAGTGTTTGAAGGCATACTGAATGGTCGAGAATCGGCCTATAATATGGACCGATATGTCCCCACCGGACCCATACATCAGCTCATGAAAGGCACGTTTTACTTGAAGTCTATCGTTGGAAAGTATCAACGATTTTATGAAACCGTTTGACGTCTATAAGAAATATAAACTGGAAATCGCTTTCATATTAAAAATAGTTTATATCTAAAAGTAATTTAGAAATTAATTTTGATATGAATTTTATATTTTTATTTACAAAATTTTATTCTTATGTGTAATAAATAGTTAATTAATATTTTTATTATGAATAATAAATGAGATATTTATAAATATCAATTTATAATAGCGGTACTAGTAAACAATTAATGTCCCTGGTTATATCGTAAAGTATTTATTCCTAGTTTGGAGACAAGGATTTACTCGACTTTAGTGATGGTCGCGCTCTTAGTATCCAAAACACAAATATCTCCGGTTTTGAATGTACTACAGGCGCCCCCCACTGCTATCAAACACGGGATACCAAACTCTCTGGCAATGACCGCCCCGTGAGATATGGTTCCACCGATTTCTGTGATAATACCCGACAGTAGAGGGAAGTATGGACTCCAACCGATGTCCGTCGAGTATGTGATCAGTATATCTCCCGGCTATTCATTTAAAAAGCTATGAATTAATATATTTGAACTGAATTCGTGTATTTTAATATTCCTAAATACCTGGATACTGTCAGCCTCTGTGATATCTTCGGAGACACAAACTCTTGCTTTTATGGATCCATTACTTACTGGAGTTCCCTTCATCTGAACCATACCTGTGCCAAGATTTGGAGGAATAATGCGATCTTCAAACTGTGTACACGTAATAATAAATTACAATTATATTAAATTAAGAGCCGATTAAATAATGCCTACATTTCTCGGCTTCATTTCTGGTCCTTTGATGAACTCATCAAACTTGTATTTATCCATTTTTGGGTAAAGCCTTTTCCGGTGTCTAACTCGAGCAAGAATTAGGGGATCTCTGTCTCCATTACAGAGCGCTTCCACTTCAGTGACGGTTAAGTAGAAGAATGATTCGGCGGAAGGTATGAGTCCTTCCCTAACCATCTGTTCGGCCAAATACCAGAAGCCATCTCTCAGTTTGTCGTTCAACCAAATCACGAAATATTTCGATAGTTCTCGGTATCCCACACCGCGTTGAGTGTACGGTAGGAGTAGTTTCTTAATAAGTAATCTCTTTATTGGTGTCAATGGAGTCTTGAGTTCTTCAATCAATTGGTCCACAGATTTACCAACTTTTGCCTCCAATTGTTTCTCACTTCCTGATAGCATAGTCTATATTAATGTATAAATAATAATTAGATTTAAGTTTTCAATATTTTTAATCACTAATCCGTACTTTAATTGTTTTAATGCAAGGAATGGGGTTTCCTTTCCATGGTTTATACATGGGATCCAATTCCCGATACCCTCTGTGACCGTGTCTTTCAAGAAATTGTTTGAACTTAACGGACGACTCATCGGTTCCCTTATATAACACTTGTAGCGCCTCCTCATCTGACAATTGTTTGAATGTTTGCTTATCTTTGATAGACTTCGCGATATCTCTCAAACTGTTGGGCACTTCAGCGCTGATCACATCATTACACGAAGAGATCATTTCATTGAAGTCTGCGTCCAGGTCTGCATTATCCTCTAAAAAACATTAAATAAATTCATTAAATACTTGTATAATTAATTAAATGTATAATCAAATGCTCACTCATAGCCCCCTGAAGGGTAGCCTTAAGAATAGCATTTTTTAGGGACGAGCCCATAGTGACGGGGCCGTGGGTTTCAAGACCAGTGTTGGATATAATGTGATAGTTGTTGAGAATCTCGTTATAAATAGCCTTTGAGTTCGAGAATTGTCTTAAAATGTTCACCAAATCGTATTTCTTTTCATCCATAAAAAGACTCTTAGTTTTGAGTAGATTTTTGGGACCAAACAGGAGGACATTGATTATGAAGGGAAATGACCGCACTTTTCCCACCAATGAAGAGCTCGCTCTCTCCAGACGTTTCGCTTTAAACGACTTCAACAGGTCTTCATCGTGGATGTGATGCCCAAACTTCGATAAAACCGTTTGTTGGGCCTGTTTTGACTCGGGGTAGTCCGCAAAGTAGTCAATCTATATCCATATTATGAACATTAATGCCATTATTGAATAATATTTAACAACTAAGTAATAGATGAGACTAACACTGGTCATATTAAACATCACTTGATTGCACTGAACGCTCATTGTTTCGACAAACGGATTGTAATCCTCGGCTGAGACAGTGCCCCGAGTTATGCCCTGACGCTAGGCATTGGATATAGAAATTAATTGACAGTTTTATGGCTATAATTCATTTTACCAAAAAAGGGCTGCTT